GACACACAATACACCTTGCACGCACCAACTCCCAAACGATATACATGCATGTCGACGTCGGTATTTGTGAGCAGAACGGCAGCAGTAGCGCACGAGGATGGAACGGACGACGCACGAGTTCTACATTGCGAGGGCGAGTGCAGGGCATGTCATGGGGGAGATGGTCGACGTGCGTTGGACATGGTGTATAGACGCGGAGTCGTCCCTTTTTGGCCACGGGAGAGACATTGCGTGCGCTCGATGCAAACTCGCAACATGCACAGAGTAGACAACCAAACCCATCGGCAGCTACACTGCGATGTCGACTGGCTAGCGAAATCCCTCCCGTCGGCGGAGGGAGTAAAATATGCAGGATAATCAAACTCGTCCGCGGGTACTGATTTCAGCAAGTATATCTATGGTCCAGCAAACCCCGCAATTCAGTAGATGACTCGCGGCGCAGCGAGAAAGGCAGTGAAACCACGTAGGCCGTGCACCCCAGCGTACAAGAAAGCCATTACGGGACGGTACTAAAAAGGTGGGTGGGCACAGCGCGACTGGAAGCGCGTGATGGGTGAAAGGCCATCAGCCAAAGCCAAAGCGGAAGCCGGGTGTGACCGTAGAGAAGCCGTTGACACTAAACTCGCGGCCGAGGTGGGATATGTTGGAGGGATTGATAATACATCTACGCATTGGAGTAACGAGGAGAAATTGAAGAGCGCGGTGAATGATGAGGATTAACGCATAACGGAAATTGAAGCACGAATATCATCAGAGCGAAATATATACGTGCGACGCACCATGTACCTGAACCACGTCTTACTCCCAGTTCCCCGGAACGAAACGTGCTCTAGATTTAGGTATGATCAACGGTTGGCGGGAAACATAGCATGGAGGCATTTACCTAGTATCGATGTCCTTTCGACGATCGGCGAATCTGAATTTGATTAGCCATGGTGGCGCGAGTAGTAAAGGTAGCGAGTGAACCTCGCCCGTTTCGTGCCGAAGGCGCACTCTGTTTGTTCCGTCGCATCTGCAAATTGGATAAAAGAGCTCGCGGGAATTGGGAAAGCAAACAGCGTGGGTAAACAAAAGACGTACAAAACTGGTTAAACGTAGGAATAGAAGTACAGGAGGCTTGATAGCATTTGGGAAACGGCGGTTAAGAAGATATTCGGCGGATACAATCGGGGAGGGACGATAGAAAAGAGGGAGTTGAGTCAAGTGAAGAGACGCACATTACGCCTGCCAGAATGCCGACTTCATATATATTAATAACGGAATTTTGCGGCCGGTCGTAGATCAGCAGACCGCACCGAACGAACTGGAATTCGCACACGCGGTCCACGCACGGTGAGCGATGGGAGACCGGAGCGCAGGCAAATGGCAAACGAACCAAAATCAACGTAGCAGTGGAGGTGCTGGAGACTGAATCGAAATTGGGCGACGGGGGTGAAGAAGATATGTGATACGGACCATTGGCGAGGGATGATAGAGAAGCGGAGCCAAGTTAATTGAATAAACGCAGAATACATCCGGCGGCCCTCTGATTGCCATATATGACGGAGTACTCGATGAAATTTTATGGCTGGCTGCGCAAGTCGTAGGTCAGCAGAGCGCATTATGCCAACTGGGATGCGCACGCGCGGACCACGAACGGTGGGGCTAATGGTGATATTGCCGTGTATCTTCAGGACGACGAGGAACATACTGTGGGCCAAGAAAAAGAAGCGGTCAGTAAATATGAGACGAGCTCACCCGTCCAATCTGGATCCCATGCTCGCGCTGCACAGCTCGTGGAGCCCCTTTTGTCGCATCGCCTGACCAGCTCGCAAACGGCGTCGGGTCCACGTCCACCTCCATAAATAGCAGCAGGGTCGCGCGGTAATCTCCTCCTCCTCGCCGCTTCTGCGAGACAAGCCCCGGCGCGGACTGAAACACACCTCACGACGCGCGCGAGGGTGCGCGCGCTGTCGAGCGCGGTGTGGTGGATGCTCGTGCGGTACTCGACGCGTTCCTGCGCACTGAAGCCGTGCAGGTGGATGATCTTTATCTGGGGCTCGACCGGTCCATGTTCGCCGCAATCGAACCGTGCATCTTTGGAAGTAGAGTTTGGGGGAGCTGATGGAGAGAGGCTGTTGTTGTGCGTTGGCGCTGGGAGCGAGGTGGGGAAGGGGCAGGAAAGTAGAGGGGACGTAGAGTGAGGCCGAGGAAAGAACGAACGGATAGTACGGCTCGTCGGGATGTACGGCGGCGTGAGGGAGTAGGAGTATGCGATGCGGCAACGGATCGTCGGTGCGCCGAAGTCGGCAAAGAAGGGAGGCGGGTTATCATGGAGCAGAAACGCGGATATCGGACCGGCACTGCCTCATACAAACACATACCCACAACGCCAGCCCTTTTCTTCCCGCCACCATCCCGTTTGCATGCGTCCCTTGCTGCTCCATCGGCTCAAACCCCTTTCTCGACAGATTCTGTGCTTGTTACGTCCATCTAACTGTACTGCCGTTTATTTGTTGCTTGGATCCTCCTTTCTCCCTTATTGCTTTCGGCTCTACTCGGTGAATTTATACCTTCGCCATTGTTTATTTGCACGCCAATCTTGACGCCAACGCCAACGAGTCTCCGCGACTTCTGCACCGTGTTCGGCCGTTTCGCCGTCTTGGAACGGCGTCTTGACGTTTCTGGACGTGGTTTTATCTGTTTAAGTGTCTCTGAGTAACACTTCCCGCTCTAGCATCCGTCTCGACTTGTGGGCACCCTGGCGGATCGGAGACTATAACGGCGCTTTGATGTATTGTTCTGCGTAATACAATGACCTTCTTGCTCTATTGATCCTACTACCGTCCTCTCTTACTCTGCGCTTCTACCCCCCTTCGCACTCGCTTACTGCCGTCGTCGCAAAGAACTGTGACGTCTGCACGCCGCCCTCACATATTTATCTCAGTACAGTCGTTTAATTTGAAACTACGCTTGCTCGTCGAATGAATTGGCTTTGATCTCCCTCTCGAACTTTTTCCGATACCTCGACTTCGGATGAATCTTTCGGAATGTCGACGCCGTGAAATTTTCAGTGCGCAGAGATCAACTGCTTAGGAATATACGACCGATCAACAACGAAATCAAGCAGAAGCGCAACTCATCCGTTGAATATTGGGTCAGATGTTGCCGTTATTCGTGCAAGGCGAATAGGATCTCGCGGTTGGGCCAGCAGAAACTTCGAACACCGCTGGTGAAATGAAAAGAAGATCTCACAGAGCGGTCTGAAATGAATCTAGGCCTTTATTTACCACTCTTCCTTTCACGCTCCAAGTCCTCAAAAGTCTTCGGCGATCGCAGAAGTTCGCCGTTAGCGCAAAATGAATGCAGGATATAGAAAAAGAAAAAATGCCATTCAGATGCAGCTGCGCTAGGGCTCCTACGCATCGGTGTCTGCAAGTAGCGAACAGTTCGCTACTCGTCGGGAACGGATGATTTCACAACCCTACAATAGAATTATATCTTCATGAGACATTAGGAATATAAGGCCTCCCTGCTCATGAGAATATTAAAAGGTAGGCGCAGCATGGCAATGCGCCGGGTGGTGCCTACTAGTTTGCCGCCCCGTTTGGATGGTCAAAACGGATGGACATAGCCACCGTTTTGACCCTCTAAACCGGGCGGCAAACTAGTAGGTGCTGGCTCTCCTGGAATCTTCACCGACGCGCAGATTTCGAGTTAGCTCCAGGTTTGTGACCCTTATCTCTCCCCGCAACACCAATGCTCGTCGCTCACGGAAATTGGAGATCACCGAGGCCATTCATGCAAAGGGATGTTTCACCTTCTGCCAGCTTTTTGCCATGGGCAGATCTGCTACAGCTCCTGAGCTCGCAGATCCTAATGTTGATTTTGATCTCGTCTCCGCGTCGGCGATCCCACTCCCTGGGCGAACCATCAGGCCACGCGCGCTCACAGTTCCAGAGATCCATGAATACATTCAAATGTTTGCCACCGCCGCAGAGAATGCCGTCAATAAGGCCGGGTTCGATGGCGTCGAAATCGATGCGTGCTTTGCTTATCTGAATTAATTAGAGTTCAGCGCGAACGGATATTTCTTGGATGCATTCTTACAAGATACGGCAAACAGACGGACCGACGAATACGGCGGCAGCCAACAGAATCGATGTCGCATCGTCCTCGAAACCGTTGCAGCTACCTCCCAACTCGTGGGCGAGTCCAAAGTCGGTGTTATAATCAGCCCGTGGAGCACTTACCAAGGTGCGAAACTGTTAATGAAATGTAAATATATTGTCATGTTCATCGTATTTTCACATACGGCAGGAATGCTCATGGAAGACCCCATTCTTACATTCTCTTACCTCGTTCAATCATTGCGCGGCTCCTTCCCGAATCTCGGATACCTCCACATCGTCGAGCCCCGGACGGAGGGTCCCACGAGCGTGGAATGGGATGAACATAACCGACACCACTCGAACGAGTTCATCCGGACCATTTGGGGTCTAACCAGAACCTTAATTTCCGCGGGCGGGTACAACCGCGAGTCTGCCATCGCGCAGGTGGTGAAAACTGGGGTGAGTGCCCCAATTGTGTACGGAATATTATAATCTCTTCAAGGAATGTCAGTCTGAACTTACTCACCGATGAAGTAAATCGATTTCAATCAAGTATGTTCATTCATGCCCATTTGAATGAAGGGGGGGTACTTAAATATTACCAATATATACTTAAGTTTGGCCCAACAGTTGGGGCAACATGTGGGTACGAGAATCAGATTTTTCCACCTGCTATAGCATGTGCAAACATTGTTTGCCTCAAGTTCCAAATTTTGGTCGCCGATATTCCTAGGTCAATGGGCATGGGGAAACCCTTTCAAGCTGCAAGGCCTACATGGTCCCACACATCCCTGAGAGCATTGGTCACAAGATCAAGCTGAGGGTCAGGTTTCCTCAGTATTAGAGATAGATAGCTTTTTATTCAAGGGCTCGAGGGCACTAAATAGAGCTGCACAGAGGGATAGGATAGGCCCCATGGTCCAACTGGCTATGACGCTTCCCCTTGGTAAAATTGCACAGCAGGAATGGTTCTGGGAGAGATGCATGTTCAACTCATGCTGGGGCCTTTTTCTTTCTTTCTTTTCTTGAGTCATAACAAGTGTTCAACAGAAGATTTGTTTAAGGGCTTGAGAGCACTAAATAAACCGGGGTCTGCACTAGAGGGACTTGAGTCATAACAACCTCTAGGTCAAGTGTTCAACAGAATATTTGTTTAAGGGCTCGAGGGCGCTAAATAAGAAAACCGGGATCGAACAATGTCTGCCCTTCTTTCGTATCCAGTACTTGGAAAACGAGGTCCATTGCACATGACGCCTGGAACTGCAGAAGGGACTGATCAGTTCCAGGTCCAGGATATTAAAGTGGCCTCGGCAGCATGCGCAGTCTGTTGCAGATGCACTAGACTTCATTGCGTTGAGGAGGAAGATCCAGTCCCGGATAGAAAACAAACGCACAGCCATCTATCATCGGCTGCACATTCACATTCCAGAGAGATAGGCCCCATGGTCCAACAGGCTATGGTGCTCCCCCTTGTTTTTCATTCTTTTTAGGTGTTCAACAGAATATTTGTTTAAGGGCTCGAGGGTGCTAAATAAACTGGGGTCTGCACATTCACATTCCAGGATTAGAGGGATCCCCTTGGTAGATTCTGGAAGAGATGCATGTTCGACTCGTGCTGGGGCTGGAGTCGTAATGACCTCTACTTTGTGAGTCAACATCCTCTTACTTGGTGGCACAAGATCATGCTGAGGGTCAGATTCCCTCAGCCCTGGTGCTCGATAGGACAGGAACCAATCGTTCGAGGACCAGACCGACCATTTGTCTTTTGTTTAAGGGCTCGAGGGCACTAAATGAGAAATCCAGGCTCGATGCAACCCTGAGCTCTTTCCTTATATGGGTCGGGGTGGAATGTGGCTGCACTTTCCCGGATCAGAGGGATAGGTGCGACTAGGGAGAGTGAGGGGGGGGCGAAAAAAATGCGGACCAGGGAAAGATGGAGGACATGCCATTAAATCTGCACACACAGATGCATGAGATAAACGAGCTGGGTGCGACAGAAGGGCTGGATAAGACATATGTCAGAGTGGTTCTGCAGTACATAACATGGCACAAGAGGTGAGCGGATCATTGATCCGGCACACAGATCAACTCACGTGCTCAAACCCACCTCTTACCAAATTGGGAACACATAAACCCAAGCCGTTCCTGTGTGCTACACACCAAACTGTATACCAGGGATCCAGGACCCACTAGTTGTACTACTTAAGGGTATATATTATAGTATAAAATCAAGGTATTCAGTCAGCTACTCTTGAACTCGTGCCAATTTTGCCCTATGCTCATTCGGGTCGACATTTTCTTTGTTCCGTCGACTCGGGGACCTTGTCGGAGAGTCATAGGGACATTTCTGACCTCTAGCTTGCTCTGGGATATGGGGTCTGGTAGGGATGGGTGGTGGTGATGCTGTGAGCCAATCAATTGTCTTTGAGTCTGGAACACCAAGTGCCCACTGTTCCTCTAGAGAAACTTGGATCTGGGAGAGAAACGGGGCTGAAATAAGTTGTCTCCACGAGTGGCGAGAGCGGAGTGAGTGGCGCAGGGGCGTGCTTCCCAATTTGGTAAGGGGTGGGTTTGAGCACGTGAGTTGATCTGTGTGCTAGATCAATGATCCGCTCACCTCTTGACATGGCACGTACTTTCTGTCGAGACAAGAGGGCAGATAGACCGAGGTGGAAGAGCTGGAAGAGCTGCATGAAGCCGTTGAGTGTGATATACAGGTAGGAGTGGAGACTTACAGGAAAGTGGGGGAGGAAGAGAGGACGACACGCTGGAGAAGATGGGGGGGAAGAGCAGCCATGACAAGTTTGTTGTACCATGTTGTGCCGGTTTCATGACTTTCCACGTTTGACAGATGTCTACCACGCTGACAGATTCGGCCCGTGAAAATTTGGGCAGGCTCTATTTTGACATATGATGATTTTGGTTACATGCTGATATAGGCAAACATGCATCCAAGAGACCTGGGACATTGCTGGTGCTCATACCAAGCTTCCCACACCTTTCTACGAGATTTTATTTTATTTTATTTTATTCACCAAAAATGTCAGAAAATGGCAGGAATGTTGGGAATTGTTTCGAAATGGTGGATTGTCAACAATTGGTACTAATTTTTTGAGAAATGGCAATTGTGGTTTTTCCTGATGGCAGGTCGGTGATTTTGTTTCAGGTTGAGAAATACTGCAAGCAGAGGAGATTGACATCTTCGAAAAGTGGGGATGAGTAGAGTACGTGGGCGCCGGCATCGACGACGGAGGTTGAAAAGAAAACAGACAAGGCTGTGCTGACATTTGGTCCTGTTTTCTTCCGGCTGCTTTCGGCCCGGCTAGCGTTCTGATTTCGACTCGCTTTTGCACTTTTGCACTGACTCGCCTTTTGCACGCATCCCTCTAGGACTTCAACTGGATTTCAATTTCACCGTAACAATTGACCACTCTCCCGGTTTACTTCTCTCACTTGGCGGAACGTGAAACGGCGTCGACGGGGAAGATGTGAAATAATGGCGCTTCAAGAGTCACTAATTTCGATTTTCTGGCCGTGAATATTCATCCTTCCGGGCCCCTTGTTCCGAACCGTCATGACGGTCGGATTTCCCACGCCACCGGGAAGGGTGCGCTCGCCCGCCAGACGATGAAGGAGATGCCTGCTGGTCTCTGGAGCCTAGCGGGGGACGCATAGACGCCGCTCACCCCCCCTGGGACGTTAATACGTCGGCCATCGCGCCATTCCTTGCCCCAAAGTGTTATTGGCGATATTCTACCTAAAGGATGACATCATACAGAACGCACACATTTTCCGTGCAGTGGAAGTGAGGTACACCGTTAGTTACCGCCGTATACTCACGACCGCACGAACGCGACACCGACTGAGCTTCCCCACCGTCCATCCACCCGCCCTCAGGCCTTTCCTCTTTCCTCTTTCCTCCTCTTTGTGCCACTGCTCCGGTGACAACAAGAACGCCGCAGCCTTGAGGCCACGGCAAATCGCACGCACGTCAATCGTGACAGTGTGAAGCGTCCACAAACTCACACGACACGTCACCTTTTGCCCGACCGCCACGACCTCGTTTTCTCTTCGACGGCGTCGACCGCCTCCCGCACGCATCAGATGCGCACTGCACAAAGATGGATCCCCCTCGATGTGGACCATTGAGCGCGTCCTCTTTGAGCGCCACTCACTTTCCCCAAGGATGAAAGTGCTACGGTTTGTTTCTGCCCTTGAACCACCAACGATCGTGCCAGCTGGGAGCAGCTTTGCCGCCTCTTCGGCAAGCTGCGCATCATGACCTCGCGCTATGGCTTGGCGCGGCTCATGCGCACCATCCGCTGCCGCATCTGCCCTTCCATTGATCACCCGACCGCCCTCTGTCCCTTCCCCGATGTCCCGGGATGGCTTGGCCCTACTGCCGCGACCATAACTGCGATCGAAGACGCCGGTCGGGCTGCTGCCGCCAAGGCCATGGAGCACATGCGCCCCAACATTTTCTCTTCTGCGGGCGGCTCTGGATCGAACTCGGGCAATGGTCGCAACCAAGGTGCCTACAAGAAACCCCGCGGTGATGGAAAGGGGAAGAAAGGCAACGACTACAAGGGGCAGGGTAAGCGCCGCGAGCGCGATGACTACTTTTAGAACTTCCTTCTATACATTGTGGTCCTCACTTCCGCGATACATATTAGACGTCTCGATACCTTCAGTCTGCATATTTTTTTGCATGTTTTCAGTACTTCCTTATGAATGATACACGTTTTGTTTTACCAAGGTCTACACTATCAACGAAGACTATCCGGCTTCCGGGAACAGGGGCCTGAGTCTTCTGGCGCAATGTGCGCCAGCTTTCGCGCCATGAAGCGCGACTGCAAGCACACCTGTTCCACCCCCACTCTCAAATATGAATGACACAACCACAAGAATGACCGTATGGCGCCACGGACCCTCCTGGATCACGGGAGGGTTTAGGGGAGCAGGCGCATCCTCCTCGTCAGTGCCCGCAGGCTACGAGACAAAATAATGAAACCAGCGGGAGCCGGGGCGACCGGGGGCCTAGCCCCGGCTATTCTCAACGAGACCCCCCCTGCGGTAGCTCCAACGTTGCTTTGGCTGCCGCAGAGACTGGCGAAGAGCGACGACCATACACGCATACGCGAGTACGTCGTGGTGGTAACGGCAGTGTTGTGGAAAATCCGGGCACGTCGTCCGAGGGTGAGACTCAGCCATCCCAACAACACGACAACGGTCGCAGAAGGGGAAACCCAGAAACGGCGGGGGTATGTGTAGGAGGGACCGCGGTCAACCCTGGAGCTCTGCAAATGGGAGCACAAGCCCGAGCTACGGGAGGTGGGCGACAACGCCCACCGAGGGGCTGTCCCCAGGATGAGGATCATGCCCCAGCTTTCTTTAATCAGAAACGGGAAAAGCAGCAGTTGAATAATCCGCGCATTAGCCGTAACACCACAGCCGAGGTGAAGCTCGCGGCGATAAACATAAATGGCGTGAAAGCCGCTTCAATCACACAAGATAGCCACAAGTGGCATGGGATACATCGCATGATGCGTGAACAGAAAATTGGCATTATGATCGTGTCGGAAACGCACATGTCGGCAGCTCAAGCTCTAGAGATAGAGGAGAGCTTCATGAGCAAGCGATTAAAGCTCTTCAACTATGAATACCCCGATAATCCGGCGGCAAAGGGCATAGCGATTGTCCTGAATCGAGAAATCACGAACATTGAAGGAGTCAAAGTGCATTATCTCATACCTGGTAAGGCAATCCTCGCAGTAGTTCCATGGCACGGCACTCGAACAATAACTGTGCTTGGAATCTATGCCCCGACAGAGTCTGATGAAGAAAAAATCAACTACTGGAACACATTGTGCGACCTATGGCTAACGACGGACTTACCGGTTCCGGACGCCATGGGGGGGGATTTTAATTTGGTCCCTGATGCAATAGACCGTCTACCGCATCATACTGACTCAAGTGCAGTAGTGGAAGCCTACCTTAGGTTTGTGCG